GTTTTTTACAAACATGTAATGCCAAAGTGCCAAGCGTTATGTGAATCACTAGCTTCAAGGTGGGGAGTCTTGCTCATGTCTAAAGAAGACTTTGATAAGAGAATATAAATGAGAACCAAATTATGCTGCAGTTTTTGTTGTGTCTATTCAGCTCAGCACTGCAGAGCTGCTGTACCTTTTTTGCAGTTTATGGTAGATTTTTTTTTTTTCCTTTGTTCAGCATCACTTACGCTTTTTAAATGGCATGGGGTCAAAAGAGGATGCTAATTAGTGTGTGCTCCAAATTTGGGGTTGTAACCTTGATCACAGTTTCAATAGTCACTTCCCAGATTTGTTTGATGTTTTGCAATACTCTCTTGGAGATTTTTTTCAAGATTTTCTCATATTCATAAATGAAGGGAGGAAATTGTGTAACTTTCTCATTACTCACCAGTGGCTGAAGAGTCGTCCATATCTTGATGACTTGCTCCTTTGCTTTTTGGTAAACCACTGGCAGCTGCATGACCTGGAGATCGATGTTTTCACCAAGGCCTCTCTTGGACAGCTCCTGTGTTTACGAAAAAAGCCACCATGGACTTGAAAAAGCATCGGATTTCTGACTGTGGTAAAGAAACTGGGCTGATTCAGCTGAGAAAACACCTGAAGGAGCAATGCTTAACCCCATGGTTCCTCAACACTGGTCTGCAATGAGGTTGGTTTCATAGTAGTTCCCTCTTTTTCAGCTGGAAGAGATTAAAATGTGCTGAACAGTTCCCTAATGTCACATCCATGTGGAGCTATTGTGTTTTCCAAAGGGATGCCTAGTCTCCAGTGGGTGGGAGTGGTCCCTGAGGAACCATGAGACAGTGTCTCTCAGAAAAGATCCTTGCTTGAAAGCATCTAAATGGGCTTTGCTACAGGTAAGAGCTGTTCCTCTGAAAGATCTGCACTGTCAAGAGACAAACCCAAGGAGAATTCACGTGACTTTTTCACTCCAGTGATCTGTTGGCTTGACCAGGTTCAGGTAAGCTGTGCTGGAGGTGACTGTCAACATGAGGAAGGTCACATTTAGAATGAGTTTAATTTATGTTTTGGTCCAGAATATGTTTCTCTAGTAAAAGGAATTGTCACTGGGGTGTTATTTCTGTGTCATTTATGTACAGTTAAATTTCCACACGGGACCTTTTCCCAAGGGAAGCAAAAATTATGCCCAGAATTGAGGTGAATGAAATAAAGGTACACTTCAAAGCAGCAGTTTGGCCAGGTGGTTAGAAGATGGTCTGGAGAAGAAATGTCATATGGACATGAAATGATTTTGTCAGTGGAATAGGGCTAACAAACAAGGCCTGAACCTCTAAGTAGAAAATAGGTGGCTGCAATGGCAGGATGCAGAAGGAATGCATCTGAAGTGGAAAGCTTTGTCCCAGAAAAATAAAATGGTGGTTGAAAATCCCTGTTCCATTTGAGTAGACCACTACCAAAGGATGGTGCAGATGAAGTGTCCAAGGGGGGCACAGCAGCAGAGGTGTCTGATTAGCCCAAGAAACCTGTAGCTGTATTAAATGTCATTGTCTTCTCAAGTTTTCATTTCTCACTCAGGATACCCCTGTGGATGAGGCCCACAATTCTGGGAAATTTGCCCTTCAACACTCACTTCCTATATAAAGTGTTCCAATTTTCTTGTCAGCGGAAGCATTGATTAGCTGTGCTCAATAAACTATTTGACACAAGCAAGGAAACAATGCCTGCAGGGAAGTAAACACATTTGGAGAACAGTGCCAGCCTTTTTTCCTCTGGGCACTGACAGTCTTTGAGAGACCATTGCATCATCTCGCTGAAGAATGCTGTACTGTGCCTGAGCCTCCGAAAAAGAAAACCCCAGCTGGTTCACAATTAGCATTTCCTTTTCTAAAGCATCTTTAATTTTTACATTTAATGAGATTCTTTCTTTTTAACTGTAAGGCCTAGAGAACTCAACTGCCCCTAACTTTGGTTCAGAACATGGAGACCCAAAATGAGCTGTAAGGTTGTTCTCCTCTCGTGCTCTCTGTTGACAGATTTTCTTTTGTCAACAATTGTCATGGCAGAAACACGCAAAAATACTTTTGTGCAGGACTGAAAAAAACCCTGAAGCTGCCCAATAGCAAAGGGCTGAGAATTTGTGTCAAAGGAAGATGGTTTGCTATGTCCTAAGCAATTTCAGCACGTTGTCGATAACGTGCATTACTGTGTTGTCTAAGAATCCCAACCATGGGCTTATAGCCCCTTAGACCAGATGTCGTGCAAATATGGAATAAAATAAACGAAGGTTGTTCCTTGTCTCAGCCTTAACCAGAACCATTTTTGCATGTAAGGTGAGAGACTGAGGATGGTTAGAGGAGGATAACTGCACTAGGAAACTTGAGCTCACGGTGGTGAGTGAATTCAGTAAACAAGTGCCTGTCCAGTGTAGTTGAAACAGCAAAGGAAACTTCAAAGGAGGAGAAAAGTTTTGGAGGACTGTTTTGTGGGAAAAGTGGTTCAAAACAAAACATGAAGATTCTTTATTGGGAAGTTCTTCTAGGAGGGAAATGAAATCCAGCATTACCGACTGCTGACCTGGAGCTGTTGGTGAGTTGTGGTCACAGCCCCGGTGCACTGGTGTTCGGCCGTGTTGTCACACAGCCCTCCTCAAAGAGGAGGGATTTGTAAGCTCTGTGCTCAGAGGTGGTGGCTGTGCCCCACGGCGTGTTGGAAGCATCTTGAACTTCCAAAAAACTCCAGAAAATTTCCGTGAGTCTGCCTGAGTTCTCACTGATTTGGGCTGCCAGGAAGGGGGTCGCGTGTGTTGACTTTGTGAATCGCTTGTGTTGGTGCAGAAAGGGAACCAGAAGTTTTCAGCTGATCCCGTCACACTGCAAGTGCATTGCAAACAAAGGTGTTTTGTTTGGTTGGTTAGTGGGTTTTTGTTTATCTGCTTTGGGTTTTTGGGTGTGGTTTTATTTTGTTAGTTTGTTTTGTTTTGTTTTGTTTTGTTTTTTTCCTAATTGTGCAGATACCTTTTAAAAGCTTTAGGGATGTAAGAAAATTCCAGAACAGAAATGAAGGCACTAGATAGCAATGTCTTCTTAGTTTCACAGATGATGAAACTGAAGCAGAGAGGGAGAGAGACAGAGATTAAATGACAAATTTCCAAAGACCACATGGTCAGTGGCAGGATGAAAAACTGCACTGGGAGATCTGATCCTGATCTCCCGATGGCAGACACAGTTCCCAGAAGCAGTTGGAAATGTGACCTGTTCTTTGCACTAACAGTTTAATTACTGTGAATGTTGTCACTCAACTTACATTTGTGCCCTATTAACTGGGGAGTTTGACCTTGGTGGGTGGACTGCCCTGATAGGTTATTTTGCTGCCAAGTTGCAGACAGGACTTTCTGGAGGAGACACAGGAACAGGATCGGATCAAGGGTTATTAGGTGGGACCATCAGTCTGGAATATGGAATCAATAATTCAGGGAATCTGGGATCCTGAGGGTCCCACGTGGTGCTGCAGAACTAACACATGGTGGTAAATCAGTGTGATCTGTCAGGAAAAGCAGAGCAAATACCTGGTTTTGTTTTCCTTTAGCAACAATGTCCTGCACTTCCAGAGCTAAGAGTGCTGCTGGTGGAGCTCTCATGCATATTTTAGGAGGAAATTTTAGGTGAATGGAGTTATGAAAACCATGAAAAACTTAGTGAGGCGGGTTTCTAAAGAGAAGTTGTCCTCCTAGTGCTAGACAACCATGTTGGGCCATGTGATGGTGTCTATAAGAGCTCGGAAGCTTTTCTATAAGAGCTCAGAAGCTTTTCTCCATGACCCTGAACTGACAGGTTTGCCTCTACTTTCAGAACCATTTGACTCTCCTTTTCCCTGAACACTCAGGGGATACTTGCTGAGGAATGAGAACTCCATGGATGATGAATGCCATGCTGTTTAATGCCTTGCATGAGGGTCTTGTGCTGTGATGAGAATTTGGGTCCGTGCAAAAACAACAGGGTACTCCTCACATTCTTGGAAAATTTTATCTTCAGTTGTATCTCTATTATAAAACAGGCAATGCAGGATAAATACTCTTTCTAAACCAGGAGAAATAGAGCTTTATTAACACTTATCATTTGATTCCTGAGTACTTCAGAAAAGGGAAATTGGCTTATTCATCAAAAAGGTGGTAGTAGTAAACAGTTAATTTTAAGAGAAATAGTATTTCTCTGAGCACCAGTGAGGGCATAGAAGGGATGCAACTATTGGAATGGGCTGTGTGGTCACTGGATCAATCTCTGATCCTCCTCACAGCAAGAAGAGAGGTTCAGGAAAACGGGTGATCCCATCGGCAGGATCTTAGGGAGGAGCTGTAACAGGGATTTTAAGGAAGCAGCTGTGTGTAAGAGCCAGTATTGCTCACAGAAGGGAAGCCATTGCTCTTTGGCAAAGAATCCATTTCAAAAGCATGAAGGGTGAGGTTATGCTTTGGAATTAGGACACTGGAACTGTTAAATGTATTTTTACAGGATTTCAGATGCTTTTGGTATGAGGACCCTTCTGGGATGTGAACTTTGGAGATTGCATGCATCAGCATTTCAACATCACCAAGGCTGCTGTGGTATCCAGGCTTTCCATAAGGTATCCAGGCTTTTGATAAGCACCCACTTCATACTGGGCTAATAATTAGGATAGTTCTGGATAAGGCTACAAAGGCATTAAACATAAGCCTGAGCAGTCACGTTTGTAGCTCTGGTCTGGCTGCTCAGCACGTTCCTGAGGAGGAATCTGAGTGCACACTTGTTGGTTCACAGCAAAGGGACTCAGCAGGAGGGTTTTATGTCACTTCAGTGATCCATGCAGGCACCCCAAGCCAAGACAGGATTACTTCCAGATGTAAATCCTAAATTTTGCTATCTTTAATATATGTGCATAAGCTTCCTGAAGACCATAGAGCTACTCCTGTGAATGAGGCCAATGGAACAATACCATGAGATTGCTATTTAGCGTGGAGAAGCCTATCAAAATTCAAAGTACTTCCAGATTTGCAGCAAATTTCTCTGAATTGCCTGAATTTACCACCTTTGCCAGGGCACAGGAAACCAAAGCAGCATCCTGAGTCTGAATACAAATTAATTCCACACCGAGGGTGTCACATCAGAGAGAAATGGATTTGTTCTCCTCCATACACAAGGACTGACAGCTGTTTGGTTATGGAATGCTGTAGCCCCTGTTATGTAAGTCCCTGTTGTAGCCAGCTCATGGCATTGGTACAGGAAACTCATCCCATTGGTGCCTCCTCGCTTTGGGCTGTTTTGCTTGCAGATAAAGAACGTGCTTTATTTTCAGCCAGAAGAGGATGATCTTCCACCCAAAATTAGAACCAATAGGAATCAGGAAATAATGAGCAAGAACACTGTCAACTGACGAATATTTGTGGTTTAGGGCCCATGTCAGGTTGGAGTTTAGATAATTTATGGGCCTCCTGTAATGACTGGGGTGTGGAAAGGTATCACAGAAGTATTTTTGTTTCCTGTTAGCCTACAGGGATAACATCCCTCGTGATTTGGAGGGGCAATAGATTTATTCTACCAAAGACCAAGATGCACTCACCCAACGAAGCTGAAATAGAAAATGTGTATGTGTTGGTGGAGTTGCTATAGCTTTGGTCTGTGGAAAAATGCACCAGCTCCTTGTTTTTCAGTCATCTTGGCTGGAATGCATTTCATTTTCAAATCAGATCTTCAGTAGCTGTTACTGAAATTTGTATTGTGGTTACAGTCCCGTAGGGCCATTGCCTTTCTGTCACTACTAATACTTTCCTATAGCTGCCTTTTTCCTTTCAGTGTCCATAAGAATTTAAAAATGTATGGACTTACTTCAGTCTTCATAAAAGAACATAGTCCCCTCAGTTTGTTTTACATGTCTTGCTTTCCATTTTTACCAATATTATCTGTTATTTCTTGGACCAAAGCTCTAATTCAATTTTACTATTTTGATTGTTCTCCAAGTAGTTTCAGATTTCACTGTGTGACTTTCTTTCTACCTTGGGATTGCTAAAAACTTGTATGAAAGACCCTCTCAAAATAACTCTGTTCCTAAGTACCTTATGAGAGTAACTGAACTCAAGGAAGGTTTTTATCTGTGATAGGGAGAATGAATCAGCTGATGCTGAAGGCCATGTATCCAAACCATGTCTTTTTATCCCCCAGATAAATTTGCTCTAATACACAGATTTAGGAAATAAGCAGGAATTTTTAAGGCTCCACCTTAGACTTGCTCCTGCTAGTCAAGGTGGATGGAGGAGGAAAAAATTTGAATTACCTTGTTTTCAATTTAACTGTAGACTTCACTGTCATTTGAAAGTGGAAGCCAAAGCTGAAACGTGAAAACATACTTAGAATTGGCACAGATTTTTGTGTTCCTGAAGCAGGCAGTCAGAACTCATAAGCTGCACTTGTATGAGAAGGAAATCACCTCACACAGACATGATAAAATGATCCATGGTGTGAGATGATCTATTTACTGCAGACAGAGAGAACTCGTGCAATATGCATTAGCTGCAGAGAAGGCACCCTGGGTAAAACATACCTTTTTTAAGAATCCAGAACAATATTTTGAAAGTGCTTAAATAGCACAAAAAATATCATGCAAATAAAATAATGTTTCACTTTTTCATTATCCCCTTTCTTCCATGTTGGGAGTCTGCTCCATGAGGCACAATTCTGTTTAATGAGTCATGAGAAGTAACTTTTTTGAAGGGAATGGAAAGCCTAAAAGCAGTTTGTGTTGGGATCTCTACAAAATAAAATGTCTCCCACCTTTTTTTTCCCTTTTTTATTATGCTTACCTTCACTGCCTCCCAGCTGGAATTAACCAGGTATTGTCTGAAGGGACCAAAACCTGCAAATGAAAAGAAAGAAAGGTGCTTTTAACCTCTACTTGCTGTGCAATTGCAGATTAGGGGCTGACTTGCCTGCACACACATATTTGTTCTTTATCTTCATATTTTTGGTTATGGAGGTTGAGTTTTTCAGGTAGGATTTAGCCTTTATAACACTTAAGGGAATAGTATTTTCATTCTGTGTATTCACTGATAAAAGAACTAATCCTGCAATCTTCATTCATGTCAAGGCTTTCTTGTGAGAGAGCCTTAACTAAAGCTGGTAAATGTACTGGAACTGATAGGACAGATCAAGTAAATGATGATTTTGGGCAAGGATCATCATCCCCAGAAATACCACTACTGAAGGTTCTGGTGTTAAATACTCCCAGGTCAGAGTTAATGTATCATTCTTATTGTTAGAGCTCATAATGATGAAGATATGCATATTTAATGAAAATGTTTGAAAAAGTAAAATTTTATTTAATTTGTAATTTTGTTTTAATCCCAGGTGGTGAAAACTTGAAAGTTTTCTGTCTCTTTCTTCACTTTTTACCCAAAGGTAAAGAAAGGCGAAAAGGGAAAAGCACACTTTAATCCAAAGTATTACATTCAATTTTATGGATCTTTTTTGTGAAAGTCTTTTTATTTTTTTTCAATACAAGGGAAATAAAAACTCATTTTGAGCAGATGGCATTTTTGTCATTAAAAAGTTTGATGGAAAACTCCCACTATCTTTATTAATCTCAATTAATATTCTCAATCCAGAGCGCTGCCAAGTCTTAGATATTGGGTGGCAGGAACAGGAATTTGTGAAATGGTTTTTATGCTATAACTCTTAAATATTTAAAAATCCTTAAATGGACAAATAAATACTTGACAGCATATGATTGCTATTTTGCACAGTGAAAGCTACTTGCATTGGAGACAATTAAGCCTAAATACAGGCTTGTGACAGCTTAATTAGTGCTAGACTTTAAGCATTTCTTAATTTGTTAATGCTTATTTCATAACTGCTCCATCTTTTCTCTTTAGTATTTTGAAAAGCTTGATGGTGCTAATATTTCTGACAAGGTTTTCTCCAGGTTTGAGTTTCTGCCATGGGGAGGGAAGAAAGTGAAATGGTGCTCATTTCACATTATCAGGGGAACATAAAACCCCGCTGGTCCCACTCTGCTTTGGGAGCAAAATTAGGGTGACACCTGCTCCATTTTGGAGCTGTAGTTGTTGTACATGCTTCTTTACCTGTCTGTGCAGAACTACAGAATTATAGTAGAGTTATTAATCAGCTCCCAATGAAACACATGTGTGTCAGTGGTGGCTGTAAGAAACTCGTGCTTGGGACAAAATTATTCCATGAAAAATGACTAAATGTAGGAGTTTTACTGAAATACCCGCAGCAATGTGGAGAACTAACTGGCTGAATGTTATTGAGCACCATATAATAAACTGGGCTCCCTGCCAGCAGGTTTATATTCTGAGCAGGTGAAAATGTGACAGAGACATGCTGTGATAATCTCTGCAGTAGCTTTAAGATGCACTTGTGTCTTTAACAGGGCACACCAGTCTCAAACTTCTTGAACAAGTAGATTTCTGCACATAAATGGTGATGTAAGGGGAGGAAAAATCTAAGAGGGTGCTAAGAAGTGTTCCTAACAAGGGTATGTGCCATAAATATCATAGGAGAGAACCAGACTGTCAGCCTTTTAAGAGGTTAGCTAATACCTCCTGCCCTCTCCTGCACTCCATCCAGCTCAGCTGCAGTTATGTCTGGAGCAAGCCAGACTAGTTCTGCCCATCTTGCAGCTATTTAAAAAAAAAAGTGTTTAATTGAAAACAGCGAGATGCAAATCTCTTTGATGTAGCTTCAACCTCATTCCTATGTCCTCAGATGACCTGCAGTGGAAAATTATCCAGCAACTCACATGTCAAGATATGTGTAACGATTGCCTTTAGATGAGCCAGTGGCAACAAGAGGAACAGCGAGGAGCAGCATTCCTTAAGAGCTTTAACCTTTTAAAGCTCAGGACTCTCTAGCTGGGGGTTCTGCCACTGTGAAGCCTCAGTAGCTACAGCCAGCAAGAGAAACTCCAAATTTGGTCCCTTGTGCTGCATGTTCAGGCATGTTCCTTTGGTATATTTAAATTTAATGGTCTAGTTTAGCAATGATGAGGCAGCATCTCCTGTTTAAAACTCCCTTACCTTGCCATGAAACTGAGCCCCTGAGACTTGCCATGTGTTGCTCTAATTCTGGACACTGACTATGTGACATTGTGATGCAACCTGGTTTTCTTGCTTCAGAGCTCCTTTTGGGTAAGCTTTATCTAATCCTAGCCTGCACTGCCTTGAGCTATGTGGTTTGGATCAGAGAGAATGTCAACAAAGATTAAAACATGGAGAGAATGAACAACAAACCAAACTGGATGGCAGTAAAGAGGGCAGACTGCAGTCTGTTTCCTCTGACATGCATCTGATTTTTCTTAGGAAGGCACAGTAAGTTATTTTCCATTTAGAAATGTTAGTATGACCATTTGCTACTGTTTTTCCCTCCAGGAAACTGTTTATGACAAAGACCAAGCATGCGTGCACACCATCTCCAGCTCAAAGAACAAAATAAAAACCTCACCAGTTACCACCACGGTGTTGGAATTTGAATCCATGAAATCTCTGCTCCAGAAGGTGAAATCCCGTTGTCTTTCAGTTCCAAACAGTGTTATAATTCAGGTATCTGTGGCAAACTTCATTTAGAGCACCTTTTTTCTTCCAACTGCGATGCATGTGGATTCACATGACAGGGATGATTCGTGACTCATGTAGCTTTTAAAGCAAAAATTATTACGTCTCTATTAAAGATAGAAGTCTGACTGCCCAGCTGTCTGACTGGGACTGCCCCAAACTTCTATTCCTTTTTCCAGGCATGTAATAGGATTTAGGAAGAACAGGAAAGGCTTAGAGAAACTTCTTGAAAAATATCCAGCAACATTTTTCACCACCTGTTTATGTGCAAGTAAACAGAAAATTAATTGAATCAGTTTTATTATATCTCTGTGGGTATCAGCTGTAATTCACTTTAATTATGAGGAGTGACTTAACTACAAAAACTTATCTTGTCCATTTTTCCTGTTCTTAGACTTTCTCTTACTGACTTAAACTCAGGGCTAACTTTGCTATTCCTCTTCATAGCAGTTATGTAATTTACTACTCTTGATTCCTATCTCAGGCTTGTTATAAAGGAGACAAAGCACTGTACACTTTTCAAACCAAACACCAATAGGAAAATGTGTGTATTTGCTAAACCAAAACACTTACTCAGTAATATCCTTTAACAGGCAACATGTTAAAAAATCTCACTCCAACTTGCAAGGTCAGAGGAACTCTAGAAGCTGGGTTGTATCTTGCTGAAACTGGTGAGTTTAAGAGCTGGTCTGTCTTCATTAAACTGGAGCCTGAGAACCAATGGGGGGGGCCTGAAATCAAAACATATGCACATTGTCACTGCCCAAAACAAAAGCATATGCAAGTTCTCTTGAGAATTATAACTATGTGGGCAGAGGGTTTCACTGGGTCTTGTTTTGAGTAGGAAGTGTGTGTGTGTGTGTATGTGTGTGTGTGAGAGAGAGAGAGAGAGAGAAAGAGAGAGAGGGAGGGAGGGGAGAAATATGCTAAGAATAGAAAGCCACTATATCATCTCAAGAGAGCTGGTAATTGTGAGACCTTAGGGAAAAAATAATCTCTGAAGAAATCTCTGGGGTTGGGTGTGGCTGAATGAGGTTTGGAGCCATGACCTGTGTCTGTCATTTAAATCCTCCTGTGCTGAGACACAAAGAGATTTGTGGATTCTCTTTATTTCAGAGATTCTCTGATTCCATCATCCATTCCTTCCCTTGGTTAGTACAACTTGCAAAACTAACTTCTGCTGGCTGCTGGGGCTGAAGGAGTAGCTAATGCAGGAAATAGAGCTCTCTGCAGCTCTAAATAAGACAAAATCTGCCACTGGCAGCAGTGAATTACATCTAAAATCCCACAGTCTTCATACTCCTATGTCAATCAAGATTCTTATAAATTAATTTTTCTCCTTGACCAGTCAGTAAAACTCTCCCTATGACATTGAACAGGGTAATGAGTCTTCTTAGAGTTATTTCTGATTTCTGCTATTTTTTTAAAAAAAAATCTAAGTACAGGTGGTCTAGTGAATTTCTAAGGAATAAAGCAAGATTTAAGGTCTATAGTTGTTTAATTAATTTCCACAATGAGAAACTGTGGTTTCTTTGGGACATTATAGCTGCTTTATACACACAAACAAACATACATATATATATATGTAAATATATATGAAAGGTATTGCTTGAATGCTATAAAATATTAGGCATTTCATTAGATATTCTTCCAGAGGGTAGATGTAAGTCTATTAGTTCCATGCACTCTGAAACAACTGATACAATCTGTTTGGAATGTAGTACTAGTGTTCAAAGTTTTTACAGCTGGCAAAAGGGAATAGAAAAAATACAAAGCAACAAAGATTATATCACCAAGCCTTTATGGAGAAGCTGACAGAAATATTTTTGGGGAAAGTATTGTCTTCAATAGTTAGTCCTTTTCCATGCAGAGCTTTGCTGCTTTGGTAGGAAAGATTCCAAGACATTTCCAGTGTTGGTATACACTTGTGCAAATGTGGGAGGCATGCCAGTGGTAAAAGTACTTTGATGGAATTATTGAATTTGACAGAGCACACCAAAGTTAATTTTTGCACTGATTTAATCGATTGCTCATGTTCCCAAGCTTTGTGTGCATGTGCTTTGTGTACTTGGACTGCCACATAGTTCAAAAAAGAATTTAAAAATTCAGGGTAGGCCTTGGTTCTAAGAATTCTATTCAGAAATTAAACCTTTTCTCTGCTCTAACATTTCTTCAGCTGAAGTTGAAGCTACTCTCGAAATTTCTGTTCAATTATGACTGTAGCTTTAAAATTAGCACTCCCATATGTGTATGTGCCCATAACAATGGATTTGAGGGTCACTGGATATCTGAGGTCTGTGCAAATTAATCTCCCCATCCATAATTAAGAATCCAAGCCCTTGATATTTGAAGGCAAGTCAGATGCAGCTGACTCAGCTAAACACTGGTGGTTGTTGTTCTTGCTACACATAGATGTGATTGGCATGGCCCTCATCTTGAGGTAAAGAAGAAATGGAACCAACTCAACTATGAAAGTCTTGGTTATCACCTTGAATATTTTTCTGTACACTTGTCTGATACATTTAAAACTTATTTGAACTGCTGAGTAAGAGAAAAATATTTTTTTCTGCAAATGAATTCTGACCACAGTGCAGAACTGCCAGCACACTGCTCCAGTAGCTTTTTAGCAGATGGCAACAAGAACAGAATATGGCCCTTCATTTAGAAACGGCTCTTTAATTTTTATCTCTTTTATTATTACTTACGTGTAGGTTTTTTATTTCTTGTTATTGGCAGGCGCTGACCAGTGATTTAAACTGTTAAGTGGAAGTGTTTAATATATTCCAGTTTTTATCTCAGCTGTTCAACACTTAATGAGAGGAGGAAGAAATCAAGCTGTTATGCTATTTAACACTAAACTATAATGGGGACTTGAAATAGAAATTCCAGGATCGAACACTCTATATTTCTTTTCCATTCTAATAAAAATAAATGATCCTCAGGAAAGACTGAAGCAGGTCTTCAGGTAGATGGAATGCAATGTCACAAAAAGAAAGGAGACAAACATTTCAGTGTAAAGCTCACTGTTCCCTGTGGAGAGGGGCCTCTTCTGTGACAAAATCTGTAGAAATAGTAAATGGAAAAATATATTTACAATTTCACTTACTTTCTCCTCCCCCTGAATTACAGAATGCTCTGGGTTGGAAGGAATCTTAAAGATCACCTAATATCAAGTCCCCTGCCATGGGCAGGGACACCTTCCACTGTCCCAAGTTGCTCCAAGCCCTGTCCAACCTGGCCCTGAACAATTCCAGAGATGGAACATCCACAGCTTCTCTGGGCAACCTGTGCCAGTGTGTGTTTTTTGATAGAAAGTTTTATATATTTTATGTCACTGCCTTGTTAATATTAGTTCTTCTGGATTTGAATCCACTGGTCTATACCCAGTGTTTAGCAATAATGGAAAAAATATCTGCTGTATATAAGTTAAATGTAGCCAAGCTGTTGTATGGCTGTTGCAATTTCAGTTCTGGTCTTCCTGCAGTATTAGCAGGAACTAATGGCTGTGTATGGATAGCTTTTTAACTTTATTTTTGTTTATAATAGGGAGAAAGTACTTCAGCAGGAGAACATGCAACTCATGACCAACAGGTTGCTTTTGTTCAGATGTCATTTACCAGCACAAAGAGACTCTGCAAGCAGGATACACATAATTGAAGTAACTATTTATCAGCTAATATGCAAAATGGGATAGCTAGCACTAAGAGATTACTAGGCTGAACAGCAATATGCTCACCACTCCTGATAAGAAAACTGATGAGTTTTAGCTGGCCAGGAAGTTTCCAGTACACTGGGGAAAGTTGGTCTCTGACATTTATTGGTATGAGCTCATCCTCAGCATTACTGAGTTATCATCATGTTTTCTGCCTTTTTTTTCTTTTTCCTTTATCTTTTCACTTGAATCTTTTACCAGCTAACTATTGTCATCCTATGAACAGCAATTCTGTGACTTCAGCTTAATTTCATGGCTTTAACTCATGTACATTCTGATTTTCCTCAGTAAAACTCACACAGCAATGCTGCATCAAAGTAGACCTTGGACCATGGCATGGCCAAACCTCTGGGCTGTGTGTGGAAGGCACAAAGGATCATCAGAATGTGCTGAAATCCTCCGAGGCTCTGTAAGGTGTGGTGATGTGACACAAGTGGATGGGCTGAGATTGCTTCACCCTGTTGAGGAAAGAAAATATAAATTTACTTCACTATGTGTTTTAAGCCATTTGCAAGGAGAACAATGTTTTTGGTCACTGTGCTGACAATGAAGTACCTGGCTGAAGTGCAGCACTCGAGATGCTGCTTTGGGACTTTGTCTCAAGGTCACAGTGTACCTTGGTGGTATAAGTGCAAAGGTGAGTTTGTTTCTTTGCAAACATATTGCTATTGCCATGCACTTTTCACTTCGATACCTGTATCTGTTATTTTAAAAATAATTAAATGCTTGCATAGTGCAGGTAGGAAGGCTTCCCTGAGTCACCACCTGAGTTCTACTTTTAATTTTGAGAGCTGTGTGGTCAGTTTAGCTCCCGTACCTCAGTTTAATGGTTTGTGGTAATGAACAGCAGGCTGCTTGCCTAGGTCTTCCAAACTCCTTTTTCAGATTGACAATGATCACTGCAGAAAGCTATAAAAATGTAATTTTTATACATATTTCCCCTCATAAACTTTCTGCCTCTCTGCTTCTCCCCCCTCACCCCCCCCCGGTTAACAGAAACTGTCGCTAGCTCTATGCCTTGTCGTTCTGTGCCTTTTAAACAGATAACGTGGGATTTGTACTGGAGTTTTGTTAAGTTCAGACGCAGCGCTGGGCTGGCCCTCGCCCGGGGCAGTGCCTCGATGGCGGGGGCTCAGGGCATTCCCTCAGCCTGCCCCGGGCTCTCCGGCCTCCGCTGGGCTCTCCAGGAACGTCGCCAGGCTGTTCCTCGCCGCCGTCCTTCGGTCCCACAGCCGCCATCCCACCGCCCACCCCGTCCCGCCCTCAGGGCTGCCCCGCGCCCGCCCTCAGGAAGTGATGGCGGCCGAGGGAGGAGGAAGAGCCGCCGCGGGTAAGAGGGAGGGAGCGGCTCGGCTCTGGCCCCGCCGCCGGGATGGCCACGGGCGGCTGCAACGCCGCAGAACACTCGGGTCTTTCCAGGGAATCTCTGCCTTTGGCCGTGCCCGGGCGAGCCCCGCGCCTCCTTGGCCGCGCCCGCTGCGCCTGAGGGAGGTGGGACAGCCCGACCCCCTGCGCGCAGGGGCCGGCGCTACAGGGTTTTTTTCCCCTCCCTTATCCCAAGACTATAGGTAACTTTGCCAGGTTTTCGGCTAGTCCTGAAACAGAGAGGACTGGCCCGATGATTCCCGTCCGCTGTGGTTCGGAGGGTGATGCTGCGAGAGGCTCATCCCCGGACTCCTGTGTGCAGAGCGTGTTCGAGGGTCTCAGCGCAGGTGGATGAGTTTAAGGCTTTAATAACTCACTGCTTGAGAACTGCTAAAAAGCAGTGGGAATACGGCGTAAAAATAGCAGTTTTTTAAAGGCAAATCTCAGGCACCGTCGGTAGTTGTTTACTCAAACTGAGCAAACCCACAGTTTAACAAAAGGAGCATGGTTTGACAGGGACAAAAGCAGCAGTAAACACTTTGGTTTTGACCATGCGAACGTAATTAGTAGAACTGTTTTGGTGTAGAGATGAGATATAAAAGGCATTGTATGCTACAGAGCAGTATGCATGCTACACTATAAAATATTATATATGTATATACTGTATACAAAGTATATAATACACTTTCTTTAAAAACTATTCAGTAAAACCTTTTTTTTGCTGTTGGTGAGCTGACAGCAGAACAAGAAGTACATGGAAACCGATATATTTTTTGAAAAAAGCCACACTCTGCTCATCTCCTCACAACCAGGAGAAGTTAATTTGCTGGTGTTTCCGGCAGTGGGCAAAGCGCTGCTCAGCCCCTCAGTACCTGCTGGGCTTGCACTGCTTTGAGATGAACAGATGTTCCATCAGTTCCCGAATGGCCCTGCTCCCAGTGCCTCGTAAGGGACCTGATTTCAGCACAGGTGGATCTTCTGCACGTGCTCCACCGTGGATTTCCAAAGGAGTTTGGCGTGTGCAGTGTTCTGGGTTTATATTTGACTAGGAGGACTTCCAAGAATCTCTGCTCACGCACTTGTTTGGATAAGGGCCCATTGCATCACCTCAGTTAGCTTTCGCACTGCCTTCCCTCCTGCTCTTTCTTAATTTGTCACGCTAGCAGGTAAATGGAGAGAAAGTGAATTTATCTTCTGAAACACATTTTAAGTTGCTGCCATTTGTCTAAAGCACCTACTTCATCCCCTTCAGTAAAATAATGATGTTGTTCATTAGTTCCTCTTGCTGCTCATGGCTAAATGTGCCTCCGTCAGATTGCTCTATTTTTTCCCTGCTATCAACCACTTATGGAAGTCAAACATTTGTAATAATGCTATTTTTTTTTTCTTTGGAAGGCTTTCAATTCTACTGATGTTTTTAAATAAAATAGATGAATGGGATTTGGTTTTTCATGTCCAAACAAACATTGTATTGTTGGGCACTTCAGTCTGCGTTTTTCCCTGACTTTTTCATTACTCTCAAATTGAATGCTTAGAATAGTTGTTCTTCCATCCCCTTCCTCTTTTGGGACAGCTGATGTTGTTTCTGGGTATTGTCTGAGTTTTGGCATAGTTATTTAGTTGGATATACCTATCTTTAATAATAAGAAAGTTGAGTGTACAGCAGGCTTGAAGAGCATGTTGGAGTCAACCATTAGGTCTTGTACAAATGAACAACATTTCGTGTTGTGCTATAATTGAGATGCTACAGCTCAGTCTTGAGGGCTGTATCTGTAACTGTTTTTCACAGGGAAAGGTTGTTTACACTTCCAGGTTTCTAAGCTCCCTTATAAGTCCTAGGCAGACCTTGCTGTTGAGAAGCAGGGCAACTGTTGACCTAGAACTTGAGGTTCTTGTTTTAGATTGAGCCTCCTCAGAAATTCTTTTTGATTCAGAACGTTTCAGAAGTCAGATTTGTATGTGTTTAACTATACAACAGAAAGGCCAGGAAGGACATTCAGTGAGTAATCATGTATATATACCTCTGGAGCCTGAGAAATAGTTACAGGTTGAGAAACCTGTACATCTAGTTTAGCAATTGCATTAATGAAGTCTTAAATTTCCATCTGTCTCTCGAGGAAGATGGAAATCTCCCTGCCCTCCATGAAATCCATGTTAATCAGTTTATAGGCAGGAGGTCAACAGCTTGAAAAATGGAACCACAAAATTCAGGTATTGCATAGGCACTACCATCATAAATGTGGTCTCTGCATCTAGAAAAGCTACTCAAAGCTCTAAAATGAGACTGATGAACAACCATAGTGGAACTTAGATCTCATGGATGGAACAGGCAGAATTTTATTCAGACTGAGGGGTGTGTGTATGTAAGAGGTAAGGGCTGTCATTGCCACAGGTAAAGCAAGTTACCAAAACCTTGCTTTCTTTAGCACAAATATGTAGTTGTGGTCTGGAAAGAAAAGAAATCAGGAAACAAAATCCTAAATACTTCCCCCCAAAGAAAAAAATACAGTCCAGAACCCAGCAAACAAACCAGAGCCCTTTTCCATAATAGCACTTCAGTGAACACACTCCTTCCCTTGAGGGGAAAGTTTGGGAAAACAAACAGCACAAGAGAAAGTCTAACTGGTTTCAATTTGCAAGTGGGAGGTGTGCAGGCATCCTGGTTGTGAGCATGTTATAAGAACCTACGTGAACAGGCTGGCATGTATTTTCCACATGGTGGAAAGGTTGCATACTGAGAGACTTCCAAACCCTTTGCAATTCGCTGCTCTGGAATGTTGTCTTTGCAAAACGATTGGCAGACCCTCAGGTCCCACATGTCTGTAGTTAAAGTGGGTCCTGCTCGCTTACAGAGAGGTCTGTGGGTGCTTAAAAACGTTGTGTTTGTAACCTTTGAAACCTCTGCCTGGTGGCTGGTCTTTCTGGCATTACTGACAACAGATGGCAAATGGCTCTGCCGGTGTAATTCTCGCTGGCGCTTCGTTCCTGCGAAGTTGCACGGTTTCAGAATCTCAGAAAGGGCCTCCATGTTTTTTTCCTGCGTAATGATTCCGAGCCAAAGGAAATAAAAACATTTTCTATTATTCAGATTCCCATGGTGTCATGTGACATTTGGGTAACGATTGCCTTGCAGCAGTTTCAGATAAGTGCATGGTAGCAATTTAAGGCCTGTGTCCTTTAAGTAATGCTTATTAGTATGTAACAGATGCCGTTTAGAAACATTATGCCTTTTAATAGGCTCTGCTTTTAGCCTACATGTTCCCATTCCAGGCAGACTGTGGATCAGGCAGGCTTGGAGGTATGCTGTCGTTTATGCAAAGCCTAAGTCAATTTTCTGCTCTGAAGTCGAGCCATGTGTTTTTCCTTGTTTCTTCCATTCTGGTCATAGCTGCCTTGCTGTGTTTTTCCCCCTAGTCATATCTTTGGCTTATTTTCAAGCCATTGCAATCAAAACCTTTTGCATTTTTAACCACCAGCAGTGGTTTCTTTTGTCCTTACAGAAGAGCCCGTGTAAACTGAATTTGAACACTCGCAGCCTCGCTGTCAAGAGCACAGCGAGCACAGAGCTATCCCCCTGTTGCCAGCCTGTTCTTCCTGCTCTGCTTTTTCCTCCTCCCAAAAGGAGAAAAAGGGAAAAGCAGAGCCATGCTGATTTTGGAGCACCTTCAAAGACATGTAGAATAGCTGACACAATGGCACGGAGAGGCAAGTGAGATGTTTACACATTTACTCCACTACTTGCAGCTGTTTAATAAAGGAACTTCTGAGACAACCTTGTGATAGCTGGTGCAGGTGACATATTAATTTGCAGCCACATAATAAATTCAGCAAAGTTGGGATTACTGGGGGAAGGGATTTGTTTGTTTGTGTCTTTCTTTCCTTTTTTCCCCCCCTCAAAATAATTGCTTTATTTTGAGATTATTCTGGCTGGACAAATTGCTCGTTGCAAGTAATTTGGAGAAAGGCTGCTGGGCTTTCTTAGGCAGACTTGTGCTCTCTGCTGGTGGGGAGCAGTAGGCCTGTCAGATGTAAAGTATTTGCAA